CCCCTTCCTCAATTCTTCAAGCTCCTGAGGGAGCGATTTGTTGATCCAACAAGAGGTGTCAGGGCCTCTAACAAGTTGCAGACGATCCACTTGCGACAGTGGAGGAGTGCAAGAGCACTCAAGGGCGTCATGGACGACTTAGTAGCCGTCCTAGACCCTGTTCTATCATTCGATGCTTGGCTTTCCTGAGGTTTTCAACAACAGTTGCTAGCTCTTTCTCGTGCTGTATCGCGAACTCCCTGGTACCGGGCGGTAGCCTGTGAATCTGATCCCGGTTCAGCCCTTCGAATGGTCTGCATGGTCTAAAGGACTTGTGAAGCTCATTGGGAGTGTGACGGGTGGACAGATACACGTTGTTATTGTATGCACTAGCGACCTTAGGTAACATCTCGTCCCAATTAATCTGATCCGGTCTAATATACATGTGCAGAACTTGATGTAGGATCTTATTCATTTGCTCAGTCTGACCGTTCGTTTCTGGATGGCGGCCAGATGACATCAGAAACTTAGATCCGTAGACTCCCATGAGTTCTTGCCAGTTCTGGCTGGTGAAACGACTATCTCTATGGATAACTATTGACAACGGGACTCCATTCTCACTAACCCAAAAATCAAAGAACTTTCGTATAACTAAGTCGGTGTGTGCCTCTGCAGGCAAAGGAACAAAAACAGTATACTTGCTAAATCGCTCAACTATGACCATGACTTGGCTCTGGCCATGTCTACTCTTGACACCGGCATCCATGAAATCAATGGAGACTGAGTCTCCCGGCTGATCTGGAATAGGCAAGGGTCTGAGAAGACCTAGAGGGGTGCGCGTAGTGGTCTTGTTTCGCTGGCAAACTTTGCAATTGACCGGTTTGAGCTCAAAGTCATACTGGTCGATTTCAGCGGCCCACCTAGTCAACTTAGGTGTCATTTTGGTCCTGGTCTTTAACCATGGAAGTGTTTCGTGGTCTGAGCACACTTTGAAGTGCCTCCCAAGCAGGTAATGTTTCCAGTGCTCTAGAGCCTGCCTGAGAGCGTAGAGTTCTCTCTCGTATGTCGAGGTGGCTACTTTTTCTGAAGGCATCCTCGCTGACATGAACTCTACGGGTCTATAACCATTGTCGTCATCTTGTTGCAACACGACGCCTATACCATACTAACTCGCGTCCGTGGTGACAACAAATGGCAGGGATGGATCTGCTACTTTGCGGACAGGGTACTCTATCAACGCGCGCTTTAACTTCTTTAGCACAGACGTACAGTCTTTGTCCCATTGCCAGATTGCCTCTTTCTTAAGCAACCTGCGCAGGGGAGCAGCGATAGTAGATAAGTTCCTCATGAACTTTCTATAGTAAGCTAGGCCTAAGAACGACCGCAACTCTATCAATGTGCGGGGCGTCGGCGAGTCTCTGATTGTTGCTATCTTGCCAGAGCCCCTGAGAGGGCATTTCTTTGACAAGTCTCAACAAGCCGACATCACTTATGATGTGCCGAGTAGAGAAGTCGTCCTGTTCGAGTCCAAGTCCATGCCAGTTTCCACTTTCTGGCATAAGGACTTAGACAAGGGGAAGAAGTGGAAAGGCCGTACCATCTCAGGCCAAGTCAGGGCCAAGGATCACATGATCCTTACCTTAGAGGAAGATGGTACAGATGAGGTCACATATAGTCAGATTGAGTGGGGCCTTGAGAAGGAGGACAATAGCGTGGGGCAAGGGAGGTCTTCTACTGCTGTCGCGGCTGGGGGGAGGCCGCAAAGTAGAGGAGGAGGCCAAGGCCAAAGGGGCCAGGTCATGGGAGGCTGAGGACCGAGCGCACAGGGGGTTGGCGGACAAGGGAACTTAAGTGGGAGGTAGGGTTCAAGGTCCCCCGCGGAATCGTCAGGGTTCTTGTCGGTCCCCACAGCGACGAGGTGGAAGGCCACCTCAAGGAGGATGGCACCCAGGCTTGCCACAGGCCAGGCCCTGGGAGGATTTGGGCTTGGACCAACGCGTATGGCAGGAACGCGTGGACGTGGGTCAGTGCGTATTATGTGGTGACCTGGCCCACGTTATTAAATTTTGTGCTAAGTATAGACAGACGCGATGGGCTGCCCAGCAGTCAAAAGGCAGCCGCCAGTAGGGGTCGCGACTACCCCTACTTCAAGGCCATGTGGGGAAGCGAGCGCGCACACACAGGAAACTCCCAAACCACATGAGCCTAGGGAAGAGGTTGCAGGCCCGTGCCTAGCTAGCTGTCCAAAGACTGCTTGTGTTAGCGTCTCTCTAGGCAAGTCCCTCACAGGTGTGGCAAAAGAGCTAAAGGAGAGGATGCCAGCCTTGGCCAAAATGAAGAAGGAGAGTAAGGGACATTTGATCTTAGTAGATGTAGAAGTGTTTAGAAGTAGAGTAGGGGCCCTTATAGACTCAGGGGTTACCCGTAGCTATATTAGCCGCAGGGCGTTGAAGAAGCTGGAGTTATGATTAAAAGTCCAAAAGTTAGCAGACCTTATAGTCAGCGTCCTCGCAGACAACCGCACTATGCGCGTTGAGGACTACGTAGAGGGAGTCGAGGCGTACTTTCGCCTAGAGAAAGATGGGAAGGTGGAGAAAGTTCTCCATTCCCTGACTCTCCTCGTACAAGATGCCCTTCCTTTTGACATAATGTTAGGAATGGATTGGGGAGAGGCAGCGGGGCCACACTCCACTTGAGAGAGCATGAGTGTAGGCTCCCTAGTCCGTCAGGCGAGGTTAAGACTGCCCGCCTATTTCATGTGTCAGGTGTATACAACACTCTGGCACATTGCTGTCTCAGTGCTCCCTCGTTCGTGCGACTAGTTGAAGGAGCAGTTAGAGGATCAGGTCTTCGTAGTGTATGTTAGACCTGTCATTGAGGCTAAGGAAGAGGTGACTTCCACAGATCCAACCATTGCCAAGCGGCTGGAAGAATTCAAGGATTTAACTGAGTCGCTAACAAGAGTAGTGCCACGACCCATCCAACACAGGATAGAGATAGAGCCTGGCAGTAGGACTCCTAAGGGAGCAGTCTACAGGATGTCTCCGAGGGAGTTAGAGGAGCTACGCAAGCAGTTGGACGAGCTCCTGGAGAAAGGTTGGATCAGGCCCAGTTCGTCTCCTTTTGGAGCACCAGTTTTGTTTGTTCCCAAAAAGGAAGGAGAGCTGAGAATGTGTATAGACTACAGGGGTTTGAATGCTATTACAGTGAAGAATGCTGAGCCGCTGCCCAGGATAGACGATCTCTTAGATCGGGTGCATAAGTATTTTTCTAAGATAGATCTAAAGTCCGGTTATCATCAGATAGAAGTCATCCTGATGACTAGTACAAGACTGCGTTCCGGACTAGATATGGGCACTATGAGTTTATAGTGATGCCCTTTGGACTGACTAACACGCCAACGACGTTTCAGCGATGTATGAATGATCTGTTTAGACCATGGTTAGATAAGTTTGTGGTAGTTTATTTAGAAGATATATTAGTATTCAGCAAGACCCTCCAAGAGCATCAGGGCCATTTGAGGCAGGTCTTGGAGAAGCTCAGAGAGGCAAACTTCAAGATCAACGCGAAGAAGTGCGAGTGGGCCAAGACACAAGTTTTGTACTTGGGCCACGTATTAGACGGAGATGGGATCAAATCGTCGCCCATCGCAGTTTCAGGTAGGCGACCTGGTCACCTGAGGAAAACATCTCGCAGAAGTTACTGCCTGCATATAGAGGACCGTGGCCGGTTCTAGAAGTCAAGGGCGGAGAGGATGGACCGTCCTACAGTATAGAGATTCCAGCACACCTCCACACCTACCCGTTGTTCCATGCTTCAAAGCTGTAACAGTTTCCTTCAAGAAGATCCATGATCCCCCGGGATATGGATGGACGATATGACATTGACGGCATTGTAGACGAAGATGTCTTTAGAACAGGAGGTAGAGGTCGTCCACAGAAACAGTACAAAGTCCGGTTTGCTTATCAGGAACCGGAAGACGACCGCTGGTTTACAAGAACAGAACTTCTAGAAACAACTCCCGACATAGTCAGAGCCTACGAGCGTGATATGAAGGGTAAAGGTCCCGCCTTGGACTAAAATATTCTCGGAGGACCTCGAATTTCGGACGGCGGGAGTGAAACGGTTTTCACCTTTTGCAGTAGCAGATGCAGATCCCAGGGCTCGATCCCTAGACCGTGCCCTACCCGTGTACAATACCTGTGAAGACCCCGAGAGTTGAACCTGTGACCTGTGTATTCGTAAACAGTGGGTAGGCTGTCATAGGTCCATAGGTAGCAGGGGTTCGATCTGTAGATCTGTAGAGTAGAAATCTTAGCGAGTTCCAGAAGTCTAGCTGTAGTCCTTCTAGAAGGTCAGCAAGTGGGCAAGTGGGCAAGTGGTGAGTCAAGTGGTGGACTAAACTGCAGTGCAATTGCAGTACGACCCTGGTAGGTTAGCAGTGAGTCCCCAGTCAGTCAGCGGTAAGGTCCAGTCCAGCAAGTACCACGAGGGACTGTGAGCACCATGGGCCGATGGAGAAAGGGGCAGACCACTGAGTTTCAGAAGTATAAATCAAGAGGCAGCGCCCAACCATGAAGGCATTCCTGCGTGAGCCATGCAGAAGCGCTGCCACAGCGACTTGTGCATGGTGGTCTGCAGTGAGCCCGGAGCTGAAGTGGGCAAGAGAGAAGGAGCGTAGCATAGCGACAGGGTAGTTGCGGCCATAGCCGCCATAGCTAGACTTAGTGTGTAGTGTGTGTGTGTGTTGTGTGAGTGCAGAGTATCGCGTGTGAGATATCCAGGGTGATCTGGTGTGTGCGAACAGATAGTTGTTTGGGCGATGAGACGCCATAACCATTGGAAGTGAACTCTTATCTGGATTGCCATATCTCTGAGTTTTGAGTGGGCGCTGCGCTACTGTTTGCATACATGTGAAGTGTGAATGAAAACGAGTCTGATTGCAAAAAGGTGCATTATCGTTTTGAATTGCTCGTCGTGACTTTGTTTGATTGCTTTCCTGTTATTTGTTTTGCTGGCAGTGTGGGGGAATCACGGAGATGATATCAGCATTCAGTACACAGGAACACCTGCACTCAAAAGAGATTTCGTAAGGTATGCAACAAACCATTTGCCCACATTTGATCGTTGATGGTCGGAGAGTTGCATTTTGCGGCTTCGGCTTGGGACTTCGAAAGTTTGGACTCGGGAGGGTGAATTTCACAATTCAGGACAGCTGACGTGGTTTCCTTTTGAAAAGCACAATATGGTGCCTTCGCTGACTGACAAGTCAATACATGCCTCCAGATCAGTCTCTCCCCGGTTGTTGCTGGGTACCAACAGATTCATGCTCGTGTGACTGGTCGGCGACGTTAAACCACCAGCACTTTTCCCCAACCGTTTTTCTCCGATGCAGCTGTGTGCTCTGCGTGACACTTGGGGCATGACCTACAGGAGCTAAATGGGTTGTCACCATGGTTGCATCCCTGCCGACCGCCGACCCCGACCGCCGACCGTATTGCAGCCGACCAGTAGGGCCGACCGGTCGGCGGTCTGCCGACCAGTCAGAAAACAACCATCCAC